GTTAGGTGCAGGGATGTTGGTACTGCCTATATTGGAAGGTATAAGGATGTTGGTGTTGCCCCAGCCTAAAGGACTTACATGCGCAATCTTTCTATAACCGTAACCTTCTGTAACAACTGCTTGTTACGCATAGTGCCTGCACTCCACAATTGGGTCTCCTTTCAGGAATTCCTATTTCCATCATTGTACTGCATTTGGCTTAACCACAGGGCTTTGTATTCAATTACAGACTCCTTATTAGGTTACAGAAGCTAAAATCTTTTAATTTTGTCTCCAGCCGGACTTGAACCGTTAACCTTGACTGTGGAGGGTATAGGAGCTTAACCGCTAAGCTATGGGATCTACACCAAAAAAATCATATTACAGACCTGCTTTGTCAAAATTTTGCATTAAAATTATTAAGATATCGAGATAGATTAGAGCTTATAAATACATGAAAAGCATTAGAAAATGCACAAGCATGAAATTATAATAAAGATAAATTTAATTCTGATGAAAATTCTCAAGATAATTATACTTTTTATTTAGATATAGGCACAATAGCTGGATTGACCAATGCTATAGATAGATCCTTAAATGATATAACAATATGTAAAACTGGTTTAACAAATCAAATTAAAAGATCAACAAGATCAATTTGATAAAAATATGCTAACCGGTAACAAGATCTGATAAACTAATAGTAGAATTATGATATATATAAGCAGGAGCAAGATCAGGCATTGCAGCAATTAGAAAATGAATAGGCATTTAATGAATATTGGCAAGACTGAATATGTGATAGATATATAAAATAGAAGAATAAAACTAAGAATGAGCATATACAAATACAAAACTATCAAAATGAAAGAACTCTTGATGAATTTTGGCAAGATCAACTATATGATCAGTATAAAAAATGAAAGAATAAGACTAAAGATGAATGCCAAATAATTCTAAATCAAAATCAGAATATTTTAAATTTACAGCAACAAAATTTTGCATTAGTAAATAATTAGCAAAATCAACTGATGGCATTATCTGTAGAATTTGCACAACCAGAATTCCATGGTGGTGAAGAAGATCATAAAGATTTCGTAAATAAGTTCATATTATATATTATCTTGGCTAGAGTAAATAATGATGCAAATATTCTCACTATATTAAATCAATCCTTAAAAGGAGAAGTAAGAGAATGATATCATAGAGAATTTGATAATAAAAATTGGGAGTTAGAAAATGTACTTGATAACTTTAGTATAGATGCAACAATAGCACATATTCATGATGCTAATGCAGAAGGTATAACAGGTGCAGTCACTTTTTTCTCAAATGTTCCACTTGGACTTACAGGTGCACAAATTATCCCTGCTCAAAATGTTGCTAAAGATTGAACAATAGCAGAAGGATGCCCAACTAATGCAGTACCAGTTGCACCAAATGCTGAAGGAGATGTTCCTATTATTCTAGCAGAAATACGATTTGAACAAAGGCTTTCGTGAATAAAAAAATATTATCCAACTGCTAATAAATATGTAAAGATGTTAGAAATTGGAGCATTAAAACAAGGCTTATATGAGAGTATACTTTCATTCTGAGCAAAAATTCAGAAATATGGTGATCAACTGAGTTATACTTCAGCATAGAAGAAAACCCATTTCTTATCTGAAGTTAGACCTGATATTAGAGATGAAATTTATAGAATTGGTCAAACAAAACCCATTAACAATATTATTGATAGTTTGGCAGAACTTGAATTATATTATGAAATATTACAATAGGCAGCATCTCAACCTTGCCATGCACCTATTGCTTCTGCTATTCCAGATATTATACCTTAACAACTGGCATTCCCTATGGCTAATATGCAAAAAATGATTCAAGATGCATTTGCAAAACAGAAAGCTGAATCTAAAGCTGAGATAGAAAAATTAAAGACTGAACTTCAAGCATAACAACTACAAGTTGCAACAGTAGAAAATTTTCAACTCCCACCCAAGTTTTACTCTATAAAATCAGAAAAACCTCAGCAAGCATTTTACATAGTAGATCAAGAAGGTAATAATATGGATCCACTTTCCCAAGATTCAGATTACCTTAAATATCTCGAGCAAGCAAAAGCCTTATATAAAAAACTACAAAGATCCAACCAATCTGTTAGAATTGATAGAATAGAAGAAGGGCTTAATGAAATTCAAGATACTATAAATCAGTTAGCAGACCAATTACAAAAAAAAGTGTATATAAAGAAATATGAAATTTGTAAAGAAACAGACCATAGCAAGGGCAAATGCCCCAATCAATCTATGGTCCAATCTAATTATACTCAATTATATTTTACATCTCTTAAGCCAATATATCCTCAATATATACTTCCTAATTCAGATGATAGTGAGGAGGATGAAGGTAGGTATAATAAGAAAGATAATCAATAGCATGCCCCTCCATCCTATTTAGAAAAAAAAAAATGAATATTACCAATAATAAGTAAGACATTATAAAATAAATCAGTAATTTCATACAAATCTTTAGTTACAAAATCTAAACAAAATGAAAAAGTCATTATGCCAAACCTTTTTTCAGAATCAGATGACCAGTTATTAGAATTATTATCTTCAGCAATGCGAAAAAAATTATTAACCCATCTACAAAAAATAAATAGGCTGAATCACTTGAATATATGCAGTATAGAATTGAAAATATAATTATTCCAGATGGGTTTGCCAATATAGCATCAGGATGTCTTGTTATAAATAAAGCACTAAATGAGGCATTAGGATAGAATTTTGGAATGGCACCAAATTTTTTCCTTAGACATAATTCTGATCATATAATGAAATTAGAAGGAGGACATAAGAATGTACCAATATCTATAAAATATAAAAATAAATGGGTTACTGAAACAGAACATGTTGTTATTGATAATGGAAAACCCAATTACCTTCTTTGTTTAGAAACACCATGGATTTGAAAAGTTCAAGGAATTCTAGATACAAACAAACATGAATTTTGAATAATAGTTTGTAGAAAATCTTATATTATTTCAACCTTTACTAAGCCAATTAAGGATAATGTTTTATCAAGCCTTTATACAACAGTGATTCAGGATAATAATTCAAAAAATCAAACTTTTGATTCTTCTACCAAGATTGATACTAAAGAGAAGCCAGCATCTAATAAGGAAAAAGAGTTTCAAATCTCTGATTTATTCACTAAAGATCTAAAAAAAAAACATAATAGATTCTGACAAACAAATCAATTTCTTTCTCAGACTAGAATTCCATTCCAAGATTCAAATCATATTAGATATAAAAAATCTAGAAAATAAAGCAACTATTAAAAAGGAATTTATTAGAGCTCTTGATTACACAGAATATTTTGAAAAGGAATTGATATGATTTCAAGATTCAGCTTGAAGCTGTTTTGTATATTCTCATAAATTTTCTATTCTAGCTTGCACATCATTCTCTGGTATTGATAAGATAGAATAATTTATAGTTTTTAATTTTGATTTTCTGCTAGTCTTTTTTGTCACTAGTTTGCTCAAAGAAATTACTTGTTCAGGATTTTTGGCACTTGATAAGCTATGTATGGGCAAGATTTCTGATTGAGGTATTGAGATAGATGAATTCATAGATGTTATTTCTATTTCAGATAGTTGAGAATATATCTGGGCATTTACAATATCATCATATCTTTTACTACTAATTTTATAATTAGCACACATAATGTGTTTTCTATTTGGTATCTGTTTTGCATAAGCATCTCTTATTTTTTTGATTGCTTCAGGAGTTAATGGAGTAGTAGTAGGGTTAAGATATTGTCAAACTCGAGATCTACCTTTGGTTTTAATCATTTTAAAAAAATATATAATGATATTAAAAAAATATTTGATTTAAATCTAGGAAAATATTCATTCATTTCTAGTATATAATTGAATAAAAACTAAGTAATAATCAGATACAAATCAGACTTGATTATAGATCTATTTTCATATAAAACTGGTTAATTATTATTTTATACCTAGCTAAGTATTAATTTTTGCCCAGCTACTTACTAACTTTCATCTAATTATTGCCTGATTAAATACCAATTATTATCTGGGTTTCTTTTTATTTATAATCAGTAAAAAGTCAAATTGTGATTAGTTTTTTTTCTTTGAACATAATTCTCTTTGATTATATGCCATCAATATGTACTTTGTATAGTGAATCTACTGATGCCAAAAATTTTCAAAGACATGGATATAAATTAGATAGTAGAGAATATGAACTTGAATCTTAATGCAATGAGTTGCTTCTTGAAACTAAATTTTTTGCTAATAAATGTTTAAAATTTAGAAATGCTAAAGCTCTTGTAGAAGCATGATCTAATGTGATTACTAAAGAGCTAGAGAAAAAAAATGACAAGATTTTACATCTTCAGAAAAAATTAAATTAGTACATTAATAACAAAAATCAAAATGACTTGATTAAAAAGCAACTCAAAGAAGAATTAAAGAGTTGAAAAGCAAAAATATTAATCTTACTGAGTATAAAGCCAAATATTATAGTAAACTGGAAGAAGTGAATTTATTCCAATTTAGAATTAAGTTATTAAAAGAAGAATTATCTTTAACTCAAAAATACTCATCAAAAAAAGATTCTGAGATAATGACCCTTAAAGCTGAATTGTTGAATATAAAGGTTGAATTAGATTCTAAGATTAGTGAGCTTGAGTGTCTAAAATCAGAAGATATTTTGGTATCTGTGGTTGATGGAGATAGTGAAAAAAATATATCAAAGTCTAGACCCAAAGGGTAAGAGGCTAAGCCTTGGTCTGCATCATTGTTGCTTTGCAATAATAATATCTCTGCAGTTAGTAAAATTAGTAAAAATCTTAGTCAATATTTTGCACACAAAAAAATTATGAACGAAGTTGAAAAAATTAGCACTAATATACTGACTCATACTAATGATAAAATTGTTCTAATATTAGAATCTTCAAAAATCAATACTGAGGTTACTTCTAAGATAAGTGATGAAACTATTATTAACGAAAATAATAAAGGTAATATATTACAACCAATCAATACAGAAAACTAATTTTAAGAGATAAAGAATGTGACTCTGATTAGATCTTATAATATTACAATAGGAAGGAGTGAGAAATTATCTATTATAGCATTAGGTGCTAGCATAGTTAATAAGTATCAAACTACTCCTATTAAGTTTGTTATTTTTGTCTTGATAATATTATTAATTATATAGTATATATACAGACAAATTTTTCATTCAACTCTGCCTTCTCATTCTTTAAACTCGAAGCTAGATTATACTCACAGTATGACTGCCTCTGGTAATTTGTTTTCTGGAATATATAAACTAATCATAAACAAACAAAGTGAAGTAAATTATTTGGGGAAAGAAAATTTTTATCCAGTTTATAGAAAAGAGAGTTATGGATTCCCAATTCATCATGCAGAAAAACTCAAAGACAGGATTACCTCCAATGAAACTTTTCCTTATAGATATTGATGAGGTTATGAAGCATGCTTCATTACACTGTATTGGGTATCTAGCAATGTTATGGTCATTTGCTAAGCTAGTTACAGGAAAAAGTAACACAGGTAAGACTAATATACTTGGAAATCTTGTTCTTGGTGACAAAGCTGAATATATATATAAAAAGAAAAAGGGTAGATCTAGTTATATACAGTGTGATGATTTGATAGTTTGTGGATATCATCCTAATGAACCAAAATATGCTTTTATTAGATATATATATGGAATAATTGCAAGTAATCCAAGAGCATCATATTATGAAAATATTAGGTTTAGTTATATCTTACCTAAAAAAATTCCTAGTATAAAATTTTTCTTACCTGAAAGAAGTACTGTTATTATCTTTGAAGATTTATATGTTGCCCCTAAGTCTATACAAAATTGAATTATTCCATTTTTTACACATGGACGTTATTGGAATATTTCACTTATATTTATTACACAAAAATACCATCATGTCCCAATAATCATACATGAGAATCTTTCTTATATATTAATGTTTAATGGTAGTAGTTTTTCTCAATATGTTTCCAAAATTGTTAGTCAGTATACCAATGATGTAAAAAGTGCATCAATGGTCATTAATAGCTATTTTTGCAAGAGTGAGTTTATTGTATTTGACCTTAATAGAGCAGAGGATGATCCACTTGCAATCCAGTTAAAGTTCAATACCCCATTAGATTTGCAGAAAGAAATAGAGTTACATCAGAAATATAAGACAAAAAATGCATTATCTACAGAGCTCATGAATTCTGAACCTAAAAAATCAGTCATGTAAGTGTTCTGCTTCGCAGAAAAGAAAAGTCTATAGTGTTATAGTATGCACTTCATAGATTTTTATTCACTTCATGCATACCCAATTGTGATGAGTCAGAGACTTGTAGCTTTGCCACTCTTAAGAATAGCATTAGGAAAATAGTAGACAACTACCTATCTACATTCTCAAAGATATTAGTAGAACTGGCATAGCCAAAAAAATAATATATAAATAGTATAGGTATTTTATATCATGAAGCAATTAATAAATCGAATAAATACCTGCATATTATGCTTCTATTTCTAAAAGTCACTTTTAGAATCTAATCTGCAATTGACTTTTTTTGCATTCTATCCAATTATCTGGAATATAATATTCTTTATATTGTCTATTAATAATAGAACTGTGCATCATAGAATTGTTTTTATATAATTCAATCCATTTAGTACACCACTGATTAAATTGTTCTTGAGTCTGAGAATTTTCATTTCACATCTTGTTAAACCTAAAAATTTTTCATCATCAGAAGTACCATTATTTTTTATTGCATTCCAAGCTTGGGTTGCTAATGATTCAGATCTATTCTTATAATTTTGATAAGCTATTTGTATAATTCTTGCTTTTCTAAAATCAGTTTTTGGTTTATTACATTCATGGTTCCAATGTTTCTGCATCAAATTTTTAGGTTTGAGACAATTAACATACCTCTGTCTAGTAAAATGGAATAATTTTTTAGGATTCACATTATCAATTTTTATAAGTTTCTAGCGACCAAAACAAATAGCTATATGACTTTTATGAATCTTTGATCTGTAGTAATCGAAATTGACAAATTTACCTTTATCAAATAAGATAAATAAATAATATTGATTATATACACTAAATTTTCCTGAATTTAACAAATCTTATAATGAAATTCTTATTCATATTGTCTATTGAACAGATGTTTCATTCTGTTTTATAGTAGATAAAGTGTCAAATAATCTCTTATTATTGAAAATTTGATTGAGTTTATTAGCATAAGTTTTACCATAATGTGATATATATGATACAGCATACTTTATATTAAAACCAAAATGATTAATATATGGTTTAGGAAGTGTTTTATCTTTTTTATCAATAATAGTAACAATATCAAAACCAGACATATTATCACTTATAATTTAGCAGTTTTAGTGTTTTTGACTTATTAGATTTGGTATAATATATATGATTAAAACCAGATTCATTTTTAGTATAAATTAGATTATTAGATGAGTTGTGTATATTTGTCATATTTTGTGAGTAATATATAAATGAGAATGGAAGAAATACATATTGGGTTGTAGTGAGAATTGTAAACTTATATTAGCAGAATTATGTAAAAACCACATGTTTGGAGAAGATAAAAATTTATTTATTTAATTTTTAAATATACATTATATATTTATATATAATACAATAAAAATATATTACATTTCTACCAATTACTTATAAATCTGAAAGTGGATCTTCTGCCCTTAACCCATACTTAGCATGTACCAAAGAAATATGACCCTTTCTACAATCTGTTGATGAAGAAGGAATTGTTATTTGCTTTTTTTTCAGCTTAAAAAACGTAGTTTTGGAATTCAATCCTTGAGCATTATTAAGATTTTAATGTTTAATGAAAAGAACATCATGCCCATCAGTATTTCTCTCAATTTTATTCTTCAGATTATTATATACATCATCAAATTTCCATAAATTATGAAAAAAGGTATCATGTACAAAGTATACAATACTATGATGAATACCTTTTGTAAGTGGAAAATTATCGTAAAGTAGAAGACGTAAAGAAAATGTTACAACTTGTTTAGGCCAAAGCAGTACAATAATCTGAAGTTAAGAGAAACATAATTCTCCTTTCTCAAATTCTCCGAGAGTAACCAAACAGCATAAACTATTTGGTTCATCATGTTTGTCCCAATGGTAATTGCTAGTTGTATTGTAATTAATAGTGATCATCAGGAAGATTCCAAAAGGTCGAGATGCAAAGGGACCTCATGCCAACTTCTCTAGTTTTTCATATAAATTTCTATAAAATTTTCATACAAATTCATTGACAGAGGTTGATAATGGGCCAAGATTGTGAAGTAAAGTGTTAACACATTCTTGATGTGTAGTATTATGAAAGCTTGCAATATTTGAACTAGTAAATAGAAGAAGATTATTTTGTGTATATACACCAAAATGTTCTATAAAATTTTTTCAGAATTCATCACTACAATGGGAAGGGTTATTTAGAGTGTGAAAATAATAATGGTTTACAGCATCCATTGCTTGTATAACTACTCTTGGATTATTTAGTAATGCCAAGTGTACTAAGGTTCTATCTTCTACATCTGTAACATACTCCGAAATGATTAAATGGTGAAGTTTTACTAATTTTTTAAACAAACAGAGATTACTTTGAGCAGATATTATTAAATGAGCTTTTTCTTTTCAAGAAATATATAAGGTGGTTCTTAAAATGTCCAGTGATTCATTGTTTTAAAAATCAACAGCATATTTAAGATCTATCTATTTAGACTAAAGGTGATGACACACATCTCTTCTTATAACCAGTTCTTTCATCCCTAACTAGTAACTAAGAGTGACTCATAAACATTTATTTTTTGCATTATCAGGATAAGAATTGGCATCATCATGTTTCCTATTTTAATTATTTCTTTATCTACTAATAGAAGAAAATTAGGTGAAACATCAGACAACTCAATATTATTAGCTAACCTTGCCACTCGAATTAGCATGTTGACTAAGAGATCTTTGGATGAAATTTCTTTGCAAATTTTGACACCCCTCAATAATATACAATCCAATAGACAAAAGAAGACACTTTTCTATTTATTTTCAATATAATAAATTTTATTATGTGTACACAATCTCTGAGTTACATATTAGGTCTGATGTTAATATAATAGAAAATAAAATTAGATATCTGATGCAATTATCAATATAAATAATTATATAAATCCACACTAGGTTGTATATTTTTTGCAGACTGAACAAACCACCTAAGCCAAAGTACTGAGCCATCAAAATGATGATTATGCCCTTTCAAACACATAACATACAGAAGCCAGAGGTCCTAGTTGCAGAGCAACAATTTTTTGCATAGCTTAAGTATACTTGTAGCAAGTACTTAGATGATTGATCGAGCAACACAAAAATAACCCAGGCATGAGAGAGTAAAACCAAAATCTAAGGCAAAAATAATATATATTTGATTTGGATCAAAAATAATATCGCTAGTTATCAACAGTAAAATCAGTTTTAACATATTATAATCCATCAACAAGACCAAATTTTGTTCTTTCTCAAGCTTTTGTTTTTTATTATAGCGAGCATGATGTGACAACTTTTTAACTGGTTTTTCTTGGAATGTGTTAATAAGGTTAGGAATTTCATTTTTATTTTTATGCTTCTCAATAGATGCTTGCATTGTTTTTGAATTTTAAGTTATTAACAGATAAAAATATATAGCGAATATAACAACATATAACGAAGTATAAAAAAAATGTCTAATAAATTATAAGCATCTATGTTGATAAGCACTTCTTTTATTAGAAAATGCAATTATAACTAAAGGTATAGTTACTCCAACATATATTAATTTATCAATTTACCAAATATTTTTTTACCATGGCATTGTATATTGCAAAACATAACTTGACAATTTAACACTTTGCAATTACAGAGTGCACTTTCTAAAAAATAGTAATTCATCAAAACAATAGTTAGCATATTGCTTTATTTGACATTATATAATAGACATAGTAATTTTTTAACAAACAATTGTGTATTTACCAAATTCAGCATCACAATTATTGGACATGGCAATTCAATTAACAATCGCATGTTTTCTATATTTAAATTAGATAGTTAGCAGATATTTGGTTAGACAGAGTACAGTAATAATTTTACACACTATATATTCCAAGCCTGATTTACAAATTTAGAATAACCATTATTTATTAATTTCTAGCTATTACTGGTATAACAAACATGTTGATCAAACATCTAGCATCACTTTTTTTTTTTACCATAGGGTGTCTGTACTGGAAAAAATAAAGCACATATGTATTATATTACATTGTATAATGCAAGTTAATGGACTCATGAGACTGCTTTTATTTTGGTCTAGATCGAAGCTAAAATAGTGATTTTTTTTCTCTAAAGTATTGTGAGAAGGCAAGTTCAAATGAGTGATAAAACTTTGACTGGCTTTAATAATCAATGACCTGCATTAAATTTTATGCAGTGTCACTCTCCTGCAGAATCATTCTTACAATCAGTTTTTTATTATTAACAATTAACTGTACTAGACCCTTATGTGATCCTGTGATAAGAATGAGACTTAAAAAGGCTATAAGGTAATGAGTATAATGTTCTTAATTAGTAGTTTTGTCAAAATTCATATGTTATAAAAACTTGGAATCTCTATATCTCCTGAGATCATTAGATCTAAACCTACCTTAAGTGATCACCAAATCTAAGAGAGGTTGATTTTACTAGAAAAATAACCAATTAGATCAGTGTTTGGAACTTATGATCAAGCGGAGTTGCTTTATAAAGAAAAAAACTCACATTGGATTTGGGTAACATAAGTACTAATCATGTATTTTTTATTCTGGCAGGTTCTCAAACCTAACAAATATGAAGTATAAAATAAGCAAGTTCCTACCTACAAGATGAGTTAGCAATAACACTAGGGAAGATTTTACAACAGTTAACCTAGTAATGATCATGAATGATTATGAATGATTACCCTTCATATAATCACAAAATAATTTTGATTGGCTAAAAAATATAAACAAATATTAAGGTTAATCGCATTTTATTAATTGAATAAAATTAATAACAATTTTTTTTTTAAGCTTTTGAATAAGATTTGGAAGCATATATAGCTAACTTTTTTAGTACTGTAGTATTATGCATTTTTAGTGTTGCCTGTGTACTTGTTGACAAGTAATACAAATAGTAGTAGTGTATAGTAAAGCAAAGTAGTGGTGTATAATATATTAAACAAGCAAACACATGTATATAGTTGGTGATATTACAACTGAGTATTGAAGTAACATATTGTGTATATAAAATTTATGCAAAATATGATGCTAAAGAAAACTTAAAAAGGGTATGAGCAATCATATTTATGACGAATAAACATTTGCTATATATTTTACATAAAAAATTCTTATTCATCACAAATGATTAGTCATGCTTCAAATATTTATATTTGAGAATGTGACCAATCATTTGTGATGAATAAGAATTTTCTATGTAAAATATATAGCAAATGTTTATTCATCACAAATATGATTGCTCATACTCTATACACTGAGTGCACAAGAAAAAGTTATTTAGTATGCAGCTGCAACTCAAAATGCTAGTGCCCAACTGTTTAACAATACTACTAACTGTTAACTAAAAAAAAAATTAGTCAACAAGATATCTCGAGTAATTACATATTCACGTAACCAAACTAATTATAGGTTTGCTGTCACTTTGATCTCTTTTATTGCTTAAGTCACTGTAGTTATTTCTATATGAAGAGACAATTTAGAATTAGATGTTATATCTGCTATAATCATTACTTATATTACATTAATCATATAAGATATAATTACTGATTATAGCTAATATAACACTTCGGTTTGCTTATTAAATTATAATATATATAATGGATGTATTTCACTTCACTGTTTAAGAATCTTCATTACTCCTTTTTATTAAAAAATAATAAACATATACAAAGTCCTCTTTCAAATATAAAGTATAAATTACTATTATTATTTATTAATTATCTGTTCAATTGTTACATATATAGTATAATTTTTACTACATGGATTTTTTTTTTTAACCCTTTCGATGAAGAGATGCCAATTAGTATACTACATATGATTTTTTATATTAGTTGTTTATTGACCTGCTAATAAAAATAAAAACATGACAGAAGATAATGAAGAAACTTTTTTATCTTCAGTTCAACAATTGTTAACATTATCTATATTAGTAAAAACTTACAGAGATATTTATTTTAATAACCAAAATACAGAAAGTGTTATTAAATTTTTTAAAAATCTTGAAATTCTTCCTATAATACGTCTTTGTTTTAAATGCCAAAATTCTATGCATAAAACAAAAGATAATTCCTCTAATGATAAACAAAAATGGACTTGTACTTCAAAAACTGCTTATGGTCATGCTACTACTATAAGGGCAAGAATATGGTTAGCAAGATCTAAACTGTCTTTTGCTCAAATTGCTAAAATTATGTTTTGCTAGTCTTGTAAATTGCCCCAAAAATTTGCTATTTCGGAAACTGGTATTACTTCTAAAATAATGGTCAATTGGTATAATTTCTGTCGTGATATGTGTAGTATAACATTAATAAATCAAAAATATAAAAAAATTGCCAGTAAAGAAAAAATTATAGAAATTAATAAAAATAAATTTGATAAATATAAATATAATAAAGAAAAATAAGTAGAAAGATAATGGATTTTTAGTGGTATTGAAAGAGAATTGGATAATATGTTTTTTGTATCAGTATCATATTAAACAAAAGAGACCTTATTAAAACTTTTAAAAAAATATGTGGAAAAAGGAACAATGATTTATAGTGATTGTTGGTCAGCTTACCAAACAGAAAACTTTGAAAAATATAGATAAAAGCATAGAAGAGTTAATCATTTAAAACATTTTAAGAATCCTGAAACTGGAGTTTATACAAATACAATTGAATCAAATTGGTGATCAGTAAAAGCATCTCTTCTATGATATAGAACTTCTAAAAATCTATATGATACTTATTTTGCTAAATATATGTGAAGACAACATTTTATTTAAAATGATAGTGATGCATTTAATAAGCTTGTAGAATATATCATATTATATAGTAAAAATTTAGAAGAGATAAACCTGATTACTATATCAAAATTGCAGAGTATTTAGTAAAATATTCTAATTCAAATATGTTGTTACTATTGTAAATTGGGAGAGCAGGTAATGTTGTACAGTTTAGTTCTGATAATTAATATGATACTGAGTTTAATGATCTAATTACTATAAGGTAAGCAATTTTGGTAAGATATTTATATTTAGGTCAATGGTTGTTAAGCGGAAAGGATGATAATTTAAGGATGGGTCTGAATAATATAATATTTATAAGAGTGGCATTACTATTAAACGTACTATAATAAAACTAATAACTTCAATGTGATTCAAATGTTGATCACAATACTAATAAATAAACAATCATAATGTTCTGATAATAATTGATCCTATTAACAATTCTACAGTGTATCATTACTCATAATATCTAAATTGTCTAATAATCTAAACAATAATATTATTCATGATGTTACTTTCTATATAACTTGTAAAGAATATGCTCTTAATTACTTAATAAAAGGTCTATTCGGCCTTAATGCTTACTTCTTTTATGTTAATTAAGAGACCTAGCGTATTCTTTAATAAATAAAGAGAAAAATGTAATGAAGAATCGATTATTTAATTAGAAGCATTTATACTTTTGAAATTTAAAGATTCAGGGTTTCTAAGGTAATAGTGATTTATTTGATTAATAGATAACTTAATTCATAACTTTATAACTTTCTAACTTCTAGAAGAGTGAAAAGAACCTATATTTATACAAAATTTATTCTTTGGAGAAAACTATACTAATGCTAACACTAAGCTTATCCTTCTTGCTAGTGAGCAGTCATAGTTAAGCCTCACATAGTACAAAGCTATACTGCTTACCTCTATGTTTATCATTTCTATAATTTATTGTTATAGCTTAAGCAATTGGCCCCAACTGCTTGCCCTAATGTTTATATAGATTATTATCACAATTCTTAAATATAAATAAAGGTATGAGCAGTCTAACAAACAAATAACTTATAAAGTGTAATTGAAATAATGAAAAGGCTAAATAATAATAAAAATAAAAGATAATAAATAATAAAAGAAAAAGAAATAATTTAGTGAAAAACCTGTGACTTATAATGATATACTAATTTATATTCTAACAATATGTAAATGAAAATCCTGTTTCTACTAATACTCAACTGCTTAGAATATTTTTATTATTAAAATTAAACTAGATTTAAAAAAGAAATATATAAATTAGGTCATTTCAAGTTGATTTTTATGTTAGCATCAGAATTTTGAGCTTAGGCATGAGGGGGATAGGATAAATGTTAAACAAACACTAACTTTAAACAAATACTAAAATATTGTTTTCGTATAATTTTTCCTGAGAATCATGACTATTTATATCAGAATTTCTTATATGTCTTGTTTTTAAATAAATTCTATTATATAATTAGCTTTTTTAATTTTCAAAGAGATAGCTAAAGGACAGAGGAAGATGACATTAACCTAAAATTCAACTTGGAACGGTCTTAGTAATAGTGCTAATAAAATAATAATAATAAAAAAATAATAATACTTAAATTATAAAGTTATATTAGATTGATAGTTATTTTATAAAACTATAAAATAAATAACTATAAACATATGAAAAATAGTATGATTTTCTAATTTAGCCAATAATGTATTATTTAAAAAAAGTTATACTCAACCAACTATTTCTAGTATTAAAACTTGATTATAAATATGTAATATGAATTTATTTAAATTGAAAAGAATCACTTTACATGATACTTGTTGTTTGTTTTTTTTGTTTTTAGAACTATGCCAGCAGTTAGTTTAGGCCAGGTAATTTTTATTAAGAAATTAACAGAGTATATGATAGAGAAGTAAGCAATTAGCTGAGTTGCAATCATAATCATACTAGGAGTTACCATAGGAGTAACCAGTGGTTTTCTGCTTGCTGAAACAAGCCAGCTATAAGTAACAAAATAATAGAATCGCATGTTTACCACTTGGAAGTAGGTTAGGTGGGTTACAAAGAGAATTTTCTTTTCAGATATAGTGAAGACTGTCTTGTTTCTACTGTTCTTAGCTCTTATCTTACTTATTTTTTAAAATATTATTTCTGTGTTTTCTTGTTACTTACACTGATGCATATGTTATTGGCATGTGTAATCCATGATTACATCAGCTGTTGCCACTTTCATATGCATATACATTACATATATGTCAGAGGTACTACATTGTTGTTCTCTTTTTGATCATATAATATACTATTACTTCACAAAAATTTTATATTACATGTGACAAATAAGTCACAGATATGTCACTTTTATCACTTCTATTGCTTAAAATAATTCTTTAAAAGTAATTTACCCAAGAGCATTCTTTTATACTTTATAACAAAATGACTACTGCGTATATAAAAATTATAACTGAACTAAATAATACTGACTTTTGAGATATTACTATACTATTAGTTCCCTATGATATTACTATGACTATTGATGCCCAAGTAGACATTACATATTCTGAACTTTTTCAGATGACTAGACAAGGAAAAAAAAAAATCTTTAGTATATGCTTTTTATCTAGGTCAATTACTAGAAGTATTCACAATGTTACCAGCTCAAAGAACTATTTTACAAAGTCATTTAACCAAATATTATGCTCTTGCTGCAGTTCGCACATATTATATTTTTAATAAATAGGGAGTAGAACAGATCATAAGAACTAACTCAATAAGTCTAAGAACTATTACAGACTTAAAAAGAGAAGAATATCACATGTTAACCTCTTGAAAAGAGAATTGTAATGAGCATATTTATATTCACATTATTAAAGTCATGCTTTTTTCTTCTACATCTTGGTCACTTTTATAAGATAATGAATAATTTATAAATATTAGTTATAACTGATCTACTGTAATAAATTATATATACTATAGTCATTTTTTGCTCCATCTTGTAGATATCTTTGCTTTTAATTTATTAAAATCTAAAAATTGGAATCAAATCATTAATTCACCAAATATTCGAATTAATTTGATTTAAAATTATAGAAATTTATATTTTCATCTGGGTTAAAGACACCTGATATTAAATAAATTTTCATTTACTTTAGGGTTAGAGTGAGGCCTGGGATTTTATCTAGGCATTAGTATATGCAAAATTTTATAATGAATTTTTTTGTTAGAGCCTACTAATACTATTGATTTTAGTCATGCGTAGTAATTGTACCCGAGTAGTAATTCATCTGAGTCAACTAACAGCCCTAGCATTGCCAATCTAAAAAATTTCGCTATCTGGTTGAATTAAAATTCAAGATCAGGTGTAACATAAAATCAAAATAAAATAAACCCAAACCTTAACTCTAATGCCAGTAGCGAAATTTTTTTAGGTTGGTAACGCTAGGGTACTAGATCAACTCGTGTATTTAATACTACTCAAGTAGCGATTTTTCCAACAGGTACAATCTCTAGTCACGCAAATGTTATTATAGTATATTGGGTAACTTAACCCAGGTGAAAATAGACTTTTTCTAAAATTATATTCGAATTAAATTCGAATATTTAAGCATAAATATCACGTAAAAGATGGATGTTATATATCAGATATGCAAGGTAGCCATTATTTATATCTTTATACGTATATACAATATAACCATCATATATGCAATATAATCATTGAATATATACAAATGCGCTGTTATAACCATTATAACTGTTATAACTGTTATAACCATTATAGCTATTACAAACATATTCTAACTGTTCTAATAGTTATTAACAGTTAAAATCATTTATGCAAATTAATATGCGAATCAATAAATTCGAATATTATATCAATTAATATGAATTATTCGAATTTATTCAAATTCAAATTAAATAAACACGAATGTAAAAGTTAAATTTAATTCCAATCTTTATTAAAATCATCTTTATAACAGAAATATCAAAATCCTCTTTCAAGTATAAATTTCAAACTATCATCATCAATACTCTTATTTCTATTAAATTGCCTATCCAACTATTACATGCTACAGGATCGCCTTATATTATTACACACATGTTGATAAAATCTTATGACTAAAAAAAACCTGCTAATTAAAAAAAACTATTAATGTTAAAAACGACTACTATAATTATATAGCAAATTATATATATATCACTTATGTCTTGATGACAATATGAAGCTTGAGATTATACGAAGAGATAAAATATCTGATATGCTTATCTATTATAGTTACACAATTATGTAATTGATATCACCTGATATTTGTTTATATTTTTTTGACCAATAAAAATTACATTGTGATTATATTGAGGGTGACAATTCGTGATAATCACTGGGGTAACTGTTGTACAGTCAACTCTCGATATACCGGTAGTTACACAGACTGTAGAT